ATTTTTGAATCGAATCATGTGATCACAAATTTTAAAAATCACTGGAACAGATAGCAACGTATCTATTATTAAACTGTACTTTTATTAATCACATGATTATAAAAAATTAAATATTTCCCAGCATTTTACTAAAATTTATTATCAATTGGCTTTTACTTTTGCCTTTCCATTAGCCTTTAGTTCAGCCTCCTTCCTTTGTTTATAAGCTCTATACTTTAAATCAGTGCCCATTAAATAATCCCACCATCTAAATGATGTAGAAAAACAATTAACGAAAGCATAATGATGATAATCGTGATGTTCAGCACCGGCCCAGAACGGAATGAAATGACGAAGAGACCAAGGGAAATCTTTATATAATATAATAAAAAAAAATTTTTAATTAACGTAAGAAAAATAAAAAGATCAATATTAAAATTAACATTAAATTTATCCAATTACCATAGCCGGAATGTGCATCAATAGTTTGAAACAGACGTAAACTAATCCAAATGAAAACGGTAAGAAGGTGAAGATCATGAGTAATTGAAACCCATAAAAGCGGACCACCAATAGTCCCGGTGCCCAAGATAATTACTTCGAGCGGATGAGCATATTCAGCTGTCTAAAAAAAGGTTACATAAACCCTATTCAAAATTTTGCACGTGATCATGCAGTGTAATCATGTTGACAAAACCTACCAATCCAAAAGGAGCAGAATATTCATGATGTTGCTTATGAATGTACTTATAAAAAGGACCGTAATGTAATAAACGATGAAACCAGTAGTGAAATGTATCCTCAAATACGAAAAACACAGCCACATGATATGTCATTTTTTGCCAATGAGGGAATGGTACTGTGGTTATTTCCATTCCAAACAATGTAGCCACGGGATGAAAACCGAAAATTAATGGAAGTTCGACAAAAAAATGTGCAAAAAGAACAGATTTAAGACATTGCCAATGTTCTGCTACCGTGTTAGATTTATTCTAACCATGGAAATAAATTGCTATATTAATGATTCGATCATTAAAAGATATAATTAATGTATAGGCGTTACTTACAGCTTGAATCTTGTACTGTCGGAAAAAGGGTATAAAATCTGCAATCCAAAAGGGTATACAACGTCCAAAGTAAACAATTTCATGCATTATAAAAGCTAATAGAGCGGTGGCGACAGCTTCATTTTCGAAAGAATTGAACCAGGAAGTCCAAGCTTTTTCCGCAAAATTGAGGTTTTGTGACGTGCTGTTAAGGTTGTCGTGAAAAGACCTGCATAAAAAGTAATTTAATTTTTTTTTTTTTTCAAAAAAATTGTTCAAATTAACATTCTTAAACCTACATTTGAGTCACTATAGAACGATAAAGACAAGCAATAAAACAGGATAACTTTCTGTCATAACGATAATGTTTTAAAGTATATTATCTGTTACACGAGCGTTCAATTGCTCTACAATTGAAATAATTTTTTCACGTTCAAAGATGAATTCGCTAATCATAACTGGTAATTCATGCCGATATATCCAAAATTTTTGACTGAGGTACACGAATAATTCTTTGATCATGTGAATATTTTCGGAACCGGAAATAGTACGAAAATTTATCGTTATCGTTATGATATACGTATCGGTATTTGATATTTCCGTGAATCTAACTACTTGATGTAGTTACATCTCAAATTTTACAATAGTTTAAAATTTTTTATAAAGATTAAAATGTACCAGAGTTGTTAAAACTTGCAATAAAATTGATGGATTCTTAATTATTTTATCGAGTATATTTTGTAAGTCGGTTTAAGATAACGCAATGCCATTGCAATTAACGTTAAATTTTAAATAATTACTGCCGCAATACATATTTGAGACGTTGTCGCCCTTATTAATAAAGCATTAATAATATTTTTGATTATACTTGAAAAGAATTTTTTTATTTCTCAAAAATATTTGTTTTTAAAAAAACCACCATCTTGCTTTGAAGTAGTAATATAACTGATAATAGTTACGGCAATTTATCTTTGTAATACTTGAGTAACCTTCAATCGTTTAAAATTCGTTGAAGCAGGGATGTAAATGACCCAAATGACCAAAATGGTCATTTCAGCATTCAAATGACCTATAGAAGGTTATTTAACATTTGTTAACTGATAATCTAATGAATTTTAGCCAATCAAAATTGATTATTAGACAAAAATAATTTTTATAAAATGATTAATAATCGTAGTTACTTATAAAAGACAAAATATTATTAAGTTAATTGATATTTTTTACATATTAAGTAAAGTTGTTCAGAAGAACAAACTACATATATCTTGAAAATTTTATTTAATTTTAATATTTTTTTTTTTTTTTGTTATTAAGACCACTTTCTTGGCCGATTAGATTTTATTAGTTTGTCATTACAGAATTATCACATGAACAGTTTTCTAAGGTTTTACAGTTACATGATGAGTGTATAACAAGCCACATATACAACTTTAGTCATTGTCTAATTTAAGTAGTCCACCATACAGATGATTAACTATTTGTTAGTTCTACACTATGCTGCTATACGTGCAACCTGCCTATGAGTTATCTATTTAAACACTCTGATCATTAACCCTTCCCTCCATTCCAAACTAATATCACTACTATGACTAACTACTTACGTCCGCTAGTTCACTTGCGAATCCATTTCTCTGAACAGCTTAGATCCTCTTAGAATATGTATGCCCAATGTATTGTAAGCTGCAGAGCTCCAGTTAACCTCAGAAGTATTTTCTACCAGAGTGGTCATGTGTCTATTTCACAGATTCACCTGGATTAGACCCTTGTCGATGTTTATACAAATCTAGTTTCTGCTATAGCCGTCCACCAGATATAGTCCTCCAAGTTCTAGCTAGATGTTTCACAAGATAGATCCTCCTAATCTAGTTAGCTGCCAAGCCAAGTTAGTGTTGTCGCTAATACAAGGCACCAGGCTACATTACACAGTGGACTTACTCATACCTATCGATCTCACATCCTTCGTACTCAAGTTTTTCACTAGATCAGGCATTAACTAGCTTGACTGTTGAAATCTGTACTACTTCACCAAACTTGGAATTTCTACTATGCAGATCTCCTGCCTATAGATCCTATTAAGATTTATTCATGTAATATAACTTGAGCATTGCATCACACTTCCAATGTCCGATTGATATTAGTGCAATATGATTTACAGGGTTGTAACTTCAGAAATGAGCAGAGTTTACTGTAAGTTGGGTACAAAGGTCCAGATAATTATTCAAATTCGTCGACAGTAGGATTTGAACCTCAGACCTCTTGTATGGCGGTCTGATAATCTAACTACTACACTAAGATCGCCAGACCTCTACTAAAACTTAATTATTATTTTTTAAATCTAACTATATCTTTAATTTTTAATGTCTCTTTTTTATTAAGAATTCTTCTTAACTATTCTATTATATTTAGTTTTTTTCTTTGAGCTACTATTTATAGCTTGCTTAAGACTTTTGAGATCTTATTTATTTTTTTTTCTTTTTATCTTCAAAAAGCTATTCTTATACTTTTTTTTAATTTTTATTAAAACTAGTCATGACTTCTCATATTTGATTAAGTAGTTAATTAATTTTTTTTCTTTTAAATACCTCTTGCAATAACTATCTTTATATATATATGATTTCTTATTATTTAGTATTTCTATTGTTAGAAAGATATTTTCAATATATTTAATTTTGAAAAGATATAAGTAATTTGCTTCTAAGTTAGAAAATTGTTTATAACAACTTTCTAGTATTCTCTTAAAGGCTTTCTATTCTTACTTTTAGACTTTGAATTAGTATTTCTTATCTTTTTTTTTTCTTAGCTATATCTATTTTGCTTTGTAGATTTTTTGAACAGCTTTTTTAATAAAAGCTCTTAACAAAGTTTCTAAGTTTATATTTTTTTACTCAAAAATAAACCTTATACTACTATTACTGATACTATTGAATTCTAAAATACAAGATTTCTGTAAGCCTCCTTTTGCTAAACTATCTGCTATATCATTAAGTATATCATCTGAATAGCTTTTAACTTTAATAAATTTTAGTTAAATTAATTTACTCTTCTTGCTTTTTTAATTACTCACAAAATATTACTATTCTTAGACTTGAACTATTCTTATATTTTTTTATATCTCAAATAATTTTTGATTACTACAATAGTATATATACTGTTTGTTCAAATTTTTATTTTACACTTGCTAGATACTAAAAGAATTGCAATTAAACATACTATTATTTTTGCACAAATAGATGAAAACTAGTTTTGAATTCTTTTTCTATAACTATAAACTATATTATTCATACTATCTACTTAAACTTCACTATAATCTATTTTTGCTCTTTCTCTACTTTTCTTTTCTTTAAGTGAACTATCAGTATAAAAAACTATTTTATCTTTTTTCTTATTTGCTTCTAATCTTATTTTAAGCATAGTATAAATATATTTCTCATTAGAATGCAATATATATGTTCCTTTTTTTTTATATTAGAATTTTTTTTTTTGTTTTTTTATTATTAGAATATTTTTTTTTGAAAAAACAATTTATAGTAATATTAATATATCTTTCATTATTTGATCTTTTAGAACTTTTAATTATTATTTTATTTGTTTTAAGAGCTTTACATATATATTTTTTCACTTAAAAACTTCTTTTTTTTTAATTAGCAACTTTCTTGTTTTGAGGCTTTTTTTAAAATTAAAAAGTATCTTTTTTGTTTTGTTTGTTTTTTTTAGTTTGTTTTTTTCCTTTTTAACTAAAAAACTTTTTGAAATTTTTTTTTTAAAATTAAATAAAGTGTTTTTTTTTAAAAAAAAATAGACATTTTTTCATTTTTTTCAAATGATATATTTTTTTTTTTAGAACTAAAATACAGTATATATATGTGTTCAAATATGTTTTTTTAAATAATTAGACTTTTTTTTTTAAAGAATATTTCAATAATTATTACTATTAGAATATTTTTTTTTATTATTAGAGTGAAATACTTTCATGTGATTATTTATACTTTAGCATAGGTAACATTGGATCGCAGACTCAATTTTAGTTGAATTATAAAAAATCAACTTTAAACTTAAACTCACTTTGGCATGCTTCTCTTATGCAATTATAATTAATAATTTTATTTTTATTTAAATATTACATATATAAAATAAAAAAATTAATAACCTAAATATAAATGACTATTTAAATCATTATTATAAATTTCTTCATTATAATCAATATTATATTTTTCGTTGATATTAAAATCCTTAATATATCCTCCAAATCGTTTGATATAAATATCTTTATAATTAAACTTCAAAATATTATAAAGACCATTTTTAAAAATATTAAAAACATCATCATCGAAGAATTTACAATATTTAAAAACTTTTTTATCTTCTCTTTTTCTTTTAAAAATACTATTATTAAATTCTTTAACTAACTCAATAATATTATCAAAACACTCATCGCAAGTTTTTTATCTCTAAAATTACTTTTATCATATAAAATTTCAAGTTCTTCATTAGCAAATTTACAAAATTTGTAATAATATTCTTTATTCCAATACTTCAAACAATTTAAAGAATAAAGATGTAAAATATCTAATTTGAAACTAATTTTATCAAAATCTTTATTTTTTTCTCCAATATTTTTTCTACACTTTTCACAAGTTTTTTTGATATTTTTAACAAAGATAGATTTGTAAGTTTTGTATTTTTATGATTTGGGGTTTGGTTCTTCAAATCCAAGATGTTCATTTAGATTTTTCCAAAACTCATGAGTATCGAGAACTTCTTTCCAATCTTTGGAAACAAGAGAAGCATTATGAAAAGTATATGGATCATCAATATAGTTAAAGATTAAATTAACAAGATGAATAGTTTTTTCATTTTTTATTTTTTTAACTGTAAATTTTTGAAGTTCAGATTTTTTACGTTTCATTTTTTTTTTTAATTAACTAAAGAAAAATTCTTTATTATTTATATAATTTAATGTAATACGAAAATTTTAATTTAATAATATAAATAAATTTTATAATAAACAAATTAATTTAATATGTTGGTTGTACCAATTTATGAACAGGTGAATATCGAATTTGACTATTTCTACTAATATGTTCAACAAAAATTCTATTTGAATATCTCTTACACATTTTACCATTTTTGTTTAATATACGTTCATATTTATTTTTTTTAGGATTAAATGTAACTAGAATATCAACTACTGAATCTGGTGAAGCTTTTACTAGAGTTATTCTTGGACTCTTAATTCTACCATGTTTTTTAACTGATTTTGTAGAAGTACGTGGTTGTTTTGTTCTCACAGCTTCATTTGATATGATAAAAAATATCAATAATAACAATAAAAATTTAAATTGCATTTTTTTTCTTTTATTTTAGTTAACAATAGTTATTTATAAAAAAATTATTGTATATTTTGCTTTAATGCATTTAAAAAACTTTGCCATAAATTATTTTTGTTTTTTCTTCACCAAACAAATTCCATTAAGTGATCATTTATAACTTCTTTATTTCTATTTCGTTTACTTAAGTTCATT